CATAAAAAGGTTTACAACCTATGTTGAATACACAGGCCCTGGCTATGCACCTTGAACAACTTCCTAATAGTTTCAACTTTCAGTTCGACATTATTCAGACAGTGGGAGAAGATGTTTCTGGAGATTAAATTTTTGATTTGCTTTCCTAGAGTCGACCCCGAACATTTTTAGAGACCAGCCTATTATTTTTCGACTTAATTGTCGCAAATTGCGAGGCAACAAAAAACATCTCAAAGTGCGAACTTGATAGACCATTATATTTAATCGAAACAAGTACTAAATAGCCGTGGCTTAACAGGAAATTTTGGCATTCTTAACAATTCGGAATTTGGGGTAGCGTGTCGTTAAAATAAATTCCGCATAGAAACGGTAAGACTGTTCATGTCAGTCATCCAATTCTACTTGAATTAATTTTTATTGATAGCATTAAAAAACAGATTGCATGAGGCGTGAGTTTCCGCCATTCACAAGTCCCGGAATGCTGACGATCTTTACGAATGCAGACCTTTACGAATTAGTTTGTCAATCAATTTTAGTTCAAAAACATATGAAGCTTCTCAAGGCTAGAACGGTTAATTTGATCAATCCTAATACAGTGCTGATTTAAAGTAACCGGACAAAATAAACAAAACTCGAATTTTCAAACGCATTTTTCTGAATTTGGGTTAAAATTAGACGAAAAATGAAGAGAACAAAAGTTGCTTATGGTTTCATCAGAATTAATATTGTGCAATTTTTTTCTCCAAAATTCTCAACCAAAATTTTACCCCAAAAACGGGTCATTTTGGCTTTTTCAATTAATCAAAAATTACGCTGAAACTACTTTGTTAATTGATAAAAAATATATATCACAAGAAGCCTCTTACACAGCCCAACAAAGTTCTAGAAGAGTTAAATCTCCAAAAACCTGTATAAGAGAAAATATTTTTGCGTGATAGTCAAGAAATGTGATTTTACTATATAAAACCTAAAATCTTAACTTAAAAACAAACTTAAAACAATTTACTCAAATTTTTGGAGATTCAACTTTTCTGGAACTTTGTTGGGCTGTGTAAGAGGCTTCTTGTGATATATATTTCTCATCAATTAAAAAACTAGTTTCAGTGTAATTTTTGATTAATTGTAAAAAGCCAAAATGACCCATTTTTGGGGTAACATTTGGGTTGAGAATTTTGGAGAAAAAACTACACCATATTAATTCTGGTGAAAATCTAAGCAATTTTTGTTCCCGTCATTTTTTGTCTAATTTTAACCCAATTTGAGAAAAACGCGTTTGAGATTTCAAATTTTATTCGTTTTGTCCGGTTAATTTAAATCAGCACTGTAATATTTTGATTGAAACTGTGCATTTCGTTAGAAATTCGGATAGTTTAAAAAAAAGGCATAGCTCTTTTTGTTTATTCCGAAAAGCTTTTGATATTATTGATTAATTGCAAACAACTTGTTTAATTGGGAATTGAAGAATTATCCTGAAACTTGATGAGCCGTGGACATTGGCGTGTGCTAGATAAAATATCCAACTTTAAGCTCATCGGACTCAAAATCGACACAAATTACAAATACAACAAAAAGACATCGAGTTCAGGTTCTGTGGCACTTGTAGTGATAATATTGGTTAGACAAGTAGCTTTAATTATCTTTGCTTTCTAAAAGACAAGGAACTGAACGTTTGAGATCACGTCAACAAAGTTTGTAAAGTTTAATGGAAAAATGTACCTCACACGATGGGTTTTCGAAAAACTCTTTCTGATAGTTTGAATCATCTTACGTAATGCTAGTGATCTCATATGGTCTTTTTTTAGTATGATCGCGCATCAAAGAGTTATTCGAATCATTCTCTTCTCGCACAGTTTTACGAACCATTAGTACAAAAACTGTCGATACAGCTATTTGCCAATGCTTATTCTGTTATTTTGAATAAATGCTACAAAGTTGCACAAAATGTCAGAGAAGAAGCATGACTTCTTTTTGCAAATTTCAAATACGATTTTTTTCAGAGAATCGGAATTTCATTGAGATATTTTTGAAGTAAAAGTAATTTGTTGACACAGCGAAAGATTGATAAATTGTAACTTATGCCTGCGACAGAAAAAAATTAATGCAAAAAAAATGGATAGCCGTTTGCTGTGCAAGTAGCTCAGCATTTTTTGACAACATTCATTAAAAAAATTCTTTAAATTAGTCTCGTTTTTTTTTGTGGGTGATGTGATGAGAGCAATGCAAACGCGTAGAAAGTTTGCAAATTAGACATAACTGACATTTTTCATTTTTTGCCTTTGAAGCGACACAAAATGAGATAATTATGCAGATGGAAAAAAAAAGCCGAAACCATTTAGGTCGATAAAACTTTTAAGCGAAAACAGGCAAACCAAGGAAATTATACAAAGGATTATTCAAGTTAGAAATTACAGGAGAAAATGGCTGACAGCACAAAAAAAATTCCCGATGTGGCAGCCGACATACCATAAGCAGACCCAAGAAAGTCCGAAAATTCAATTTTTCCTGAAAACAATTCTAATTTCATACAAACTGAAACAAAACAAGGTCCGACCGGCACTCCAACCCCAGACCTTAGGGTACAAAGGCATCCGCGTTACCTCTAGGCCACGTGGAAAAAGGTCTCGAAGTTGCAAAAAGGCCTCGAAAAGGTTCACTAACAAAGCAACTTCACAATTTTGTGCAGATGTATAGAAAAAGTTGTATACGGGGGAAATAGTCTAGTTCCCGATTACAAGACACTTGCTCTCGAAATTGTTATAACAAAAAATAAACATATAACATAGCCAACTGACAGTTGGAAAAGAGAAATGAACGCAAGGAAACAGAAAAATACCGACTTGTTTTTTCAAAAATCTTCAACTTTTGAAATTCGACTTAAAAATTAGATGGCCTTAAGCTCTTTGAATTGGTAGAAATTTTTGATGGACACTATTTTGTTAAAATCAACCCAATTTGAGAAAATTGGATCAATAGGTTTGACTTTTATTTCGCTGGGAAATCTGATAATTATTTTCCATTTTCAAAATTAGAAGTCAATCATGTTTTTCGTGACCTTCACAATTTTGCTGTTCGATAGTGGAGTTTGCCTTCCTTTTAACAATAGAAATGCACTGATCTCAAAAAGAAATCACCAGTCAAACCGCGAAAAATCAAAATTGAGCGTGAACAAATTTTAAGACTTTTTACCGAGGTCGATCCTCGCACCACTTGCGATGCTGAAAATTGGAAACAAAAAGAAAAAAATTGAAATTTCTGTTTCGCAGAACTTTTAATCATGAAAAATAATTAAATGAAAAATATACAAGCAATTTCTTTAATCCATTTCCAACTAACTTGGCTGCACTGCATTAAATTTCCGATAAGACAAGATGAAGTTTTGTAAAACGCACAAAGAAGAAAAAAGAAAAAAAAAGTAGACACAACTCAAATCTTTATTAGAGAAAAAAATTACACAGAGGAGACTGAACTGAAAGAATAACAAAAAAAATTTAAATTGCAAATAAAAAACTTCCCAAAAAACCCTTAAGTCAAATTTTATATTGGTTCAAAAAAGTGTCCAGAAAAAGCTCAATAAAAAGATTCAAAAAAACTTAAGTCAGCCAAAATCTTAGAAATAAAACAAGTAATTTGGGGAAAAAGCGCAAACCAAGATACATTTAAAATCGAAAAACTCTTCCAGAAATTTTGAACGAATTGACTTTAAGAACTTCTCGATTTAAGAGCACTTTATACTTACTTTATCTCAGATACACCAAATGCAATTGCTGCCGACCCAAGCAAATTAAGAAGAGAGCGATAAAAACAAAATACATCTGATGTTGAGGGAAAAATTGATATCCAGAAATTATACAAAAAACTACGCGAAAAACTCACAAACACAAATACATGCACCAGAAATAATCAGATAAACACAGCCGGTTACACAACCCAAACTAAAAAAGTGTCGATTTTATTGTTCAACAACCTAAGACATAGCCAACAGACAGTTGGAAAAGAGTCAATGAACGCAATTTAAAACAAAAATGACTTCATTTAAAAAAATCTCAACTTTCGAATTTTATAGAAAAAATTAATGCCCCTGAAGCTTTTAAGCTTCTAATACAATTAATGATTGGCAATAATTCGATATAATTGACCCAATTTATAAAAACTGGATAAATAGGTTCATTTTTTATTTCACTGGGAAATCTGAAAATTAAATTACTCTTTGGAAACTAGACGTCGATCACGTCTTTTGTGATCTTTACACTTTTGCTGTTCGATAGTGGAGTTTACCTTCCTTTTAACAAAGGAAAAGAACTGAACTTAAAAAGAAATCGAAAGACAAACCGCGAAAAAGTGAATTTGAGCCTGAACAAATTTTAAGACTTTTCCTGAAAAAAAAAACGAAAAATCACCGCGACCTATATAGGGGTCTGAACTAGGTTCATTGACTCCAAAAACAATTGAAAAAAATCTGTGAGGTTGATTCATTTTTTTAAATTTCTAATTTTTGGTACGGGTTCAAACACTATCATTTAACATCAACCAATTAAAAAAGCACATCGGGAAAAATTAGCTGACAGAATTAAGGTCGAACGTCCTCCAGAAACCTAAAATCAAACGAACATTTTTGGAACCAAACGTTTACTTTACAAGAACTTAATTCGCGACCAATACACCGACCATGCTAATACCCTATCAGTGGATATTGAAAAGTTAGTATTAATGACTATTTGTCCGTTCTGTGAACAAAGTTCTTCACGGAAAAAAGTCCAGTACCCGGTTGCAATATCCCTGCTTATCGCAAGGGTAATTAACTTTAAAATTTCGGTTTCAGGTTTCGGCTCTAAGATTTGAGTTGTATATTGCGAGTTGTCCTTGAATGTGAGTTGTCGTTCAAAGCTAGCTGTCTTTTGTTGCGAGTTGTATATTGCGAGATTTCTTTTTTTGCGAGTTTTCGCATTACGATCTCTGATATATGAAGGAGATTTCGATTCATCTTTGTCCCATGAAGACCGTGAGTAGAATGGCTTCATTTACAAAGCCAACTCTTTTAAATTTAGTTCGAGTTTTCTTCATCATAGTCAGCACATCGAGTACCATATCCATTTCACATATTGGTTACATACAAAAGAAGACAACACCTAGTGCCACATTAAAATTTGTCTTTAATTCATATAACTTTCTCCATCCGAACATAAATTAGCGTTATTGTGCTCATCGCGTTATTGTGCTCATCCACTGCGAATTAGTAGAAGGAACTCTTCGTATGAGAGGAGTCCGTCCCCGTCCTTGTCTCCCACTTTGATCATCTCCGCCGCCTCCTCGTCCGTCATCTTCTCACCTAACATCGCCATCACCTTGAAACATACCAGGGAATTTTTCAAGGATTATACATTTACTCGCGGAACAACTCATTAAAAAACGCATCTTCTGTGACTTATTTGAATGGCTTCAAGTTTTTACGTGAAATTCAATTTTTGCCAGACAAACCCCGAGCCATTCAATCGAGCTGAAAAAAGTCATTTCACTCGAAGTAGACATTAATATTACGAAAGTTGTCTCCCTTTTTCAAAATGTGCAAACACGAAAAGATGCAACATTGCGTTAAATTCAATGATAACTAGCGTTTAACGCACCTCCGGTGCTTCGAAATTTTTCGACAACTCAAAAAAAATCGCATATATTGGAAACAACATCTGCAAACTTTTAGTATACTCTGACTTCACCCAATTACAGGGTTGGTAATTTCGAACTTTTTAATTTTTTTAAATTCCCATTTTAAAAGCGTCATCTCGCAAACTTAATGGGCCTCTGGAGAAATTTGGAGGCCAGATTTGCAACCACTGAGAGTCCCTGAGAGCACCCTACTATAGGGTTAGGAATTCAACATTTTTTGAATTTTTTTAAACCCAAGTTTCCCAAAAAAAAAATTGAAAAAAAAACTATTTATCTCGAAAACTGAAAGGATTTGAGCATTCATATTAAGAGGCAAGATTTGAGACGCCAGGGTGTACGCTGAAAATAAGATTGTATCTTCATCGAGTTGGTAATTTCAATAATTTTGAATTTCTTTGTAGATAAGTTCTTTCAGAAATTTTGAAAAAATAAAAAAAAACGTCACATTTAGGAAACTAAAAGCATTTGAGCAGTCGCGTTTAGAAGTCGCATGTGGCAGGATTTGCAACTCTTTAGAGTACCCTGACAACACCGAACTATAGCGTTGGGAATTTCAAATTTTGAAAAACAATTAATTTAAACTTTTTGAAAATCACAAAAAAAAATCACATCTCGAAAACTACAAAGAATTGAGCAGTCATATTTGGAGGCAAGATTCGCAATCCTTGAGAGTACTCTGAAAGGACCTAACTACAGGGTTGGGAATTTCAGATTTAAAAAAAAAGACAATAATAATTTAAGTTTTCTGAAAATTTTTGAAAAAATCACAAAAAACGTCATATCTCGAAAACTACAAAGAATTGAGCAGTCATACTTGGAGGCAAGATTCGCAATCTTTGAGTGTACTCCGACAGGACTTAACTACAGGGTTGGGAATTTCAGATTTTCAAAAAATAAAAACAAATGTAAGTTTTCTGAAAAATTTTGAAAAAATCACAAAAAACGTCATATCTCGAAAACTACAAAGAATTGAGCAGTCATATTCTGACAGGATCCAATTACAGGGTTGGGAATTTCAGATTCTGCGGGAAAAAATTAATATAAGTTTTCTGGATATTTTTTGAAAAAATCACAAAAAAGTCATATCTCGAAAACTACAAGGATTTGAGCAGTCATATTTGGAGGCAAGATTCGCAATCCTTGATAATACTCTGACAGTACCCAACTACAGGGTTGGGAATTTCAGAGTTTTAAAAAAAATCATAATTTAAGTTTTCTGAAAATTTTGAAAAAATCACAAAAAACGTCATATCTCTAAAACTACAAGGATTTGAGCAGTCATATTTGGAGGCAAGACTTGCAATCCTTGATAGTACTCTGACAGTACCCAGCTACAGGGTTGGGAACTTCAGAGTTTTTTAAACTATTTTGTTATTTGAAATTTCTGAAAATTTTTGAAAAAATCTCAAAAATTGTCTTATCTCGTTAACTAAAATGATTCGGGCATTGAAAATTGGAGGCCAAATTTGCAACCCCTAATTCGATATTGGGTTGCTTAATTTAAACTCGGTAAAATAACCACTAAAATCAAATTGGAAAGTCGAAAGAAAATTCTTAACCATTGCAATATACGATATAGCTTAAACATGCTAAAATAATTCGTTGAAAAAGCTTAAACATGGCGAGATAGTGAAGCCCGCATTTAAATATATAATAGATTATAGGTTCTAAAAAAATTCGCAAAATAAAAAAACTCTATGACCTGTCATTAGCTGCGGTTGAAACAGTCGTAGCTCGGTGGCGAAACAAAATAAAGGCGGAAACTTAAAAAAAATGGAATAGAGATTAATCTGACCTGTCTGAGTTCATCTGGTGATATGAAATTATCGCAGTCCTTGTCCAGCACTTTGAATGCTTCCAGAATCTTCTCCTCATTTTCCTCTACTTCAGTGATCTTCCTCGCCATCATTCCCAGGAACTCAGCGAAGTCAATCTCCCCGTTGCCATCCTCGTCCGCCTCAGCCACGATCTCTTCCAATTCTTCTTCCGACGGGTTCTGCCCGAGATTCCTGAAGACAACAGCACTCTATAACTGAAGTCGTCTTTAAACATTAAGACAAGTCGTTCCAAAGCTTATATTACACGTCGGTGTAAAAATGAACACAATCTTTTTGAGTTAACTAATTTATTCAAAAACCAACTACTATACATGTATTCATACAAGTTTACAGATCACTGGATCAAAATTGGGAGTAGATTATATTATAGCAAAATGATCTTGACCTATTATAATGTCAACGTATACATAATTGTAATGGACAACCATGCAGGATGTGCATAAAGAGTTGACTTTCGAAGTCCTTCTAAGATATATTTTAGTAAAAAGCTAAATGTGACATCTCCAATATGCAAATAGCTTTTTAGGGGTTGGTGATTATCTTCGTGTCACCCTCAAAACCTAATTGAGCGGATGAAAACTGAAAATAACTGCTTTAGCTTTACCTCAGAAGTGAACCCAACTCGTCCAAGTCGATGGTGCCGCCTCCGTCCTGATCGAACTCCATGAACGCCTCCTTGAACTCGGCGATGTTGTCGTCCGTGAACTTGCTGCGCCACGGGAAGTGGTCGATATTGTACGCGTCACTCATCTCGATTAGTGTCAAGTGCGAATAATCGAATTATAGTAATGAGGTAATATCGAACAAAGTAAAGTTTGAACAATTGAATTATTTTTGGAAGCGGTACTCAAAACTGTTTAAAAAAGTGCCAACTTAAATCTTATCTGCAGAAACATAAATCCAATTTAATTTGAAAAGAGATGACTTTGACTTTAAGCAAGGAGCGAATGAATTTGTTCCAATTATTTGACGATTATATTGCTGAACTGTAATACTTGGCATTTAAATTGGTAATTTGGCATATCATCATCAGCCAGAAAACATATGGCAAGATATCAAATTACAAATTAAACCTCTGGAAAAATCTTTGAACTAAATCCTCAAAAACAACGCACTGATTAACCAAGCAAACAAATATCAAAGAAAAAAAACTGATTTAAATTATCAAAAAAAAAACAAGAAACTATGTCCAAACAAATTCAATGCAACATTATGCAATTTTAACTCAAAAAATTATGAAAAAAATTTCAACTTCTACTCGATAATCTAAGCATTCATTGGAAGATGCATCATTAATACGGCTGCCCTGGCAACCAATCCTCCAAAACTCAACTTAACACCATACACTTTGGATTCAGGTCTGTCTTTTCTTCAAAGAAAGCTTCATCTGAAAGAAATCTCTCAGAGCGTCAAGTTTGGTATCATATAAACCCTTTTGGTCGTGACTAGGATTTTGAAAAAATATATATCAAAAAGTTCCTTGAGAAAAATTGGGACGATATTTTACTGAATTAGACGGAATTCGATGATCAGCTGTTGTAATTCAATTGTAACATTGCTTTAACTATAGTTACCGATATTTCTTGCAGTTTGTCCTAATTCACTGGCCATGTCTCGAAAAAAATAAGAGGACATTTTAGCCCAAAATTGCAATTATTTTTATTTAACTAATATTAGGTTTTAGACTTATCACTTAGTTCGGATCATTTTGTGCTACTTGCACAGCAGCCGACTGTCCTCGTTTGATTTACATTAAAGCTTTCCATGATTTAGCCATACGTGGAACAATAAAAAATAATAGCGAGTAATAACTTAATGGTCTTAAAAACGGGAATCAGTTTTATTGTAAATAAACCGAGAGTACTCGAAGTTTCATAATAAATCTTATCTGCTTACGTCTCAAATAATTTTCAATCATTCGTACCTGATTTCGATAGTTGCGACACGCTACTTGGTGAGAATTTAGCCGGCAGCAATGAGTCTCCGATAATAAACGCAATCCTACCAGGACCATCCGTCTCCGTAACTGAATCAGCGCCAGTGTTCTTTCCTGCAGCTGCACTCGAGAATGACGCAGCGCTACTTTCGGAATCATTTGTGAGTCTTCTGGACAAAACTTGTTCGGATGGTCTTTTTTCAGGTTTTCCGCGCATGATGCGGAGTTCCATCTGTCTTCCACTATCTGTGCTCATAACTCTTCTCTACTTATTCTAATGATATGAACCGTTTTCGGAATCATTAATGATAATTGATGCTTTTGGGTGACTGAACAAGCTGACAAGTGAAAGAAATAAATCGATCACTCAATCGAGTTGTTAATATGAGTTTATACACTGCCAGGTCAGCTCATTTTTTTCAAACAGTCCATTTTAACTGAAGTAACAGACAGGGTTTAAAAACTGTTAAGGGACAAACTCAATTGTTTTTAGAAGTTAGTGAATGCAATAACCAGGAGTTAGGAATTAGTAATGGATACAGGCAAACTTTTATTTTTTCAAGGAAATCTATCCATGAGTTGCAAATAAAAATCTAACGCAAAACGATGGTTTCTTAGCTGTAATCAGTTTATTTCAATTTCGGTATAATGAATTGTGCCCAAATAAAAAAGGAAGCGCTTTGCAAAAACTGCTCAAAACATTCAAAGAAGTGAAATTGCACTTTGCAAGAAGCTTAATTGGATATAAGTTTTAGCGTAACACATACAATTTGTACACGTTTAGTCAGTTACGTTGCAGTAAGTAGACAAACGCATACGCAGACAGGTCAGTAAGCAGAAAATTTCTCAAATCAAGGCAACTTTTACAAAAAAAAACATCGTATTAATTCCCGGACATTTCTAAACAACTTTGGTTCCCATCTCAGATACCAACTGAATTTGAACAATAATGGTTGGTAAAAAATGAATTTCAGCTAATCAGATTTGAATATTGTCAATTTTGTCTGCTTCTTGATCTGTCTGCTTCCGCATTTGTGTACTTCCTGGCCGCACACCTTTTTATGTTTCCAATAGTTTCGAAGAGTTCGGGAAATCATTTTGGTCGAACTAAGAGCAACAAAAAGACTACACATTTTTGTCCACCCCAGTTTTCAAAACCATGCCTAAAGTTTGGAAAACCCACATTGGCCAGTCACCTTTTATTATCGACTGAAAAAAAAATTGTTCTACGTTAACAATCAAAATTGTCGTTGTTCCGAACACGTCACGTAAGCGACGGGAAGGAGCTATGAAGTGGCAAAACTAATGTATATTTGTAAATGAACTTTCAATTCAATTCTCCTGCTATGTACACATTAGTTTAACTAATATATAGTCTCATTAAACTAACTCCGTCATTTACTAAAAAAAAACAATTAGAAAATTATTTATTTTTTGAATTTCTTTACTTGTCATTGAGGCCGGAACATTTGGAGTTACAACAGCCAAACTTCGTATATTACCTTAGAAAAAACTAATATATCGGTGATTTCTTTATAATACGCACGGGAGGAAAATGTAATGACTATTTCTAACAATGATTATCATCTATAAAATTTGGTAACAAATTCGTCGGTAATGTATAAAAAGTTACGAAATCACATTGACTCAAGTTTAGGTATGGCGTGATTACGGTTTTACCTCCGTAAATTAGTATGAAAGCTTTTGCAGTGAGAAAACTTAAATAACACAGAGACAAAGCGGAGTAGTAAAAAATTAGGAAAAATCGAAAATGTTGGAATTTATTTCAGTGAATAAGCTAGTTTGGCAAAAAACACGCCAAATCCGAAGTATGTGAATTGGAATAAAAAAATAACCAACGGTAACAAAGCCGAAAGTATCTGAGCAGAAACCCTTTAAACCCAAAAAACTTCATTAAGACAAACTAATAAAAGTTTTTACACAACACGCACACAAAATACTTTTTCGCTCATCAAACGCCGCAACAAGCATTGTCACATCATTTTTTAATTACTCCCAATTAATAACCAGATACCCTGATTGCGATTAGAAAATGGTGCACCATTCATAAATTGAATTCACAATTTGATTTAGACATTTTTTGATCGATTAAAGAACTTGCAACTTCTAGCCATAAAAAAACTGATATGGCCTTATCAATTGGCATTGCAATTTTAAAACCGCAAATCAATGGTTTGTTCAAGCGAGGCCAATGACTAAACTGCACGTGCCATCCTACAAAGCCCCTACCAAATCCATGTCGGAAAAAAATTGCAAGAAGTAAAAAAAAATAGGTTGACATTTGAAAAAATCCTTCGTTATTTTTTAAAAGTGGCTACGTGGGGTTAACTATTTACGCTGTGACCACGACTCCTAGTTGATCTAAAACCATTCAGCAAATCAACAAAATAACTGCAAGCGTTAGAACTGACGCCGGGGCCCAATTATAAACATCGAAGAATTCCCGGAACCACGAGGAATGAATTTACAATGAACAACTCCGTCATATCATTGAATGGAATTTTTGCATTTGCAGCGTTATCAGCTCCTGATCTCCTTGAGCAGTCTGATATTTGGCAATGCAGCATTTCTGTAGCACTGTTTGTTCTTAAACTACATTTACATAACTCACAAGCTTGAGTCATTTTGATACGCTATGTAAGTGTTTATGCCTTCGAAAAAACGTTCACATAACTTAGAAAACTTTCAGCTGCTAGTATTATCTGGGCTCCGCATTTGTTACGGAATTCGAAGCCGATCGCCTAAGTGTCTTTAAAAAAGAACAAGGATAGCCGGTTGCTCGGTTGCTGTGCAAATAGCACAGAATCTTCCGATCACATTCTTAATTTTTTTTTCAAATTAGTGTCCTTTCTTGTGCATCGTGTGATGATAAAATTATACAAACGCGTGAAAATTTAGTGAATAAGGCATGAAAGACTACAATCGTCCTCAAAAAATGAACAAAAAAATTTGTTTTCAATTTTTTGCACTAAAATGTTGAATATCTTTTTAAAGATTTTTTACCAGCGCTAAACGAAGCTTCCAAAGCTAGTTTTCGTTTTGTAAAATCAAGTTCTTTTAAGCCTAAATTGCTAATTTCATATATAACGAACATTACTCGATCGCTTTACTCACTCGAAAATAAACGAAAAATCAAAAATTGTATACCCTTTTTCTCGACACTGACATAATTTTTTTAGTGTTCGGAACAAAAACGTATTAGTTCCAGTTCTGTCATTTCTTCTAAGCAGTATTACATAACTCACATGAAATTGTATTTATATTAAGACAAATTTAGCCTCAATGTTACAAAACTAATTCACGTGTTTTATTATCGAACTCGATTAACTTACTAGAACACGCAAAAAATCGAAACTGTTATTAGCTAAAACAAACTTGTGTAACGTGAAAAAAATCCGAGAAGTTGAGCAACTTGCTTGTCACAAACGTTAAACCACAAGGACAACTGGAAAAATCCTACTGAGCAGAGTCTCAGACGAAGAACAACTTTCTTAAAAGCTTTAAGACAAATGAACCGAAAGTCAACAATCGATTTTGGCCAAAAAACAAAATTTAACAAAGAGTCGACGCTGCACTTCAAAAACACAAGCGACGAAACTACTAACAGAGATTTAAGAAACAGACAAAAATCTACAATCCAGAAAACGAACCTTAAAATATAAAAACTTCACCTCTACTGGATTCGAACCACAGATGTTCAGATAAGGAGTCTTATGTCCAAACCACTCAGACATATTCGCTTGAGACTTTCAAACAAAAGCAACCAATAAATCAATTAGACAGATAGACACATGTGTTTAAGTTATTATTCTATGCATGATGCATAAGTGCCCTCAAAAATGAGCAACAATTTATGCGAATCTGGTTCAAAAAATGACACATCGCTTGCAGCTTGCTTGTGTAACAGAATCGATGCTTGCTGATCAAATGGCACAGAAATTTCCGACCACAATTATAAAAAAAAACGTTTCTTTTCTTTCAAATTGTGTCATTTTTGTTGGTAGTGTGATGAAAAGATCTGAACAAAAGTTTAAGACTTAGCCATATT